ATCAATTATTTGGCAGAATTCTGGGCACGAAAAAGGTGTTTTTGTGGAGGAATGGATTGGAAATATATGGGGATGATGAAGGAGTTCTTTTGGGTCTTTTTAATGGAAGAAAAGAGTAAGATTAAGAGGAGAAATGGGGAGGTATGAAATGGAAGAAAAATCAGGGATGGATAAACCAAGTTGGTGTTTAAGAGATATTACACACTCTTATCCTAACTTGAGGTTTGAATCTACAATTTAATTAAGATATGACACACTTAATCAAATATCTAGAACCTAAAACTCAGACTCAAGATAACCACTCTTAAGATATAGAATTAGGAATTTGGCTAAAATAGCATCACACTATTTTATAAATACTCAAAGAGTAAAAGGTTTTTAATATTCAAAAGATGTTGTTACAATGGCTATAAGGCCTAAGTTATATAGGCAGGGGAAGGGGGAGATAATTCACAATACATTGAATGTAAAATTAGGGAAGCTTCCTTGCAACAATCTCTTCCAAGGCATGGGGTATTGGCCATTCATTCCTGTCTCCTTAGTGGAATAATATCAGGGATGGGGCTGGGGATTGTGGGGTTTTGGGTTTTAGGTTTGTAGTGGTTGTTTTCCTGGGTTTTGTGGGTATTATTTGGGTAAGAATGGAGAGTTGTTTTTGGTCATTAAAAGAGGACAGGGCTGGGTATTATTTATGGGTATTTTGGAGTTATGGCTTTGGGTTATTGTGAGAGAAACATGGACAGGAAGTAGGGGCTGGAGGTGGGTCATGGTTTTGGTTCTTTGTGGGTGTTGTGTTGGGATTGTGAGGTTTATTTGGGCAGTGAATGAAAGGAAAGAAGAGAGGGTTTTACTGTTTACTAAAAGGCTTAAAATAAGGAAAATAACAACAAACAAAAAGGTTTTGGTTTACACACTCTAATTTTCGGCCAGGGGCTAAAATAAGAGTAATAAAAACTATATTTTGAAATGAATTAAATAGAAAGGGGCTTTGGATATTTAGGGTTGGGTTGAATGGAGTGGGAGTCGGTTTGTGGAACCCTTTGGCCTGAAGTTATTCTGGCCGCTCGGGTTGAAGGACTCGGAATTCTCACTAAAATGGATCACAATGTTTGAACGTACATCCTTTGGTCTTTGCAAGGGTGTGGGACATGGGGGAGGGTATGATAGGGCCAGGCCCAGATATAACACTTCACCTTCACCATAAAGCACAAGAACAGAACTTTGAACAAAGGAGCCGATGCCCTCTCCTGGAGACACCTATTATTAACGGACCTTAGTGCCAAAATTGTTGGTTTTGAATTTTTGTAAGAGCTATATAAGGAAGACAAAGACTTCAAACACACATTCTCCAAGGGTCTTATACGGCCCCATGGAGAGTTCCTCATCAAAGATGGTTATTTGTTTCGTGGAAATCAATTGTGCATTCCGAAATGCAGCCTTCGAGAGACCCTCATTGAAGAATTGTATGGAGGTGGACTTGTGTTATATCCAGGCCTGGTACCCTCCCCCATGTCCCACACCCTCGCAAAAACAAGAGGACTTATGGTGGTCCCAAAGTGGTGAGATACAAAGTCTAGAGGGGGGGGGGTGAATAGACTTTGTTACAAATTTAAAAACTTTTTCGTTTCTTTTGAAAACGTGAAAGTGAGTGTTAATCTAGAGTTCTTGTGAACTTTAGATTGTGTGCGGAATTTGGTGGGTAGAGTGAGCCGTAATCAATATGGATGGGTTAGTTTTCACAGCTAATATAATTTCAAGTAAGAATAAAGATAAAAGAGAGAGACACACAAACTTTAATGAGGTTCGAAGGTGGGGTAATCCTTCTACGTCCTCAAAATCCACTATGTAGTTGGTTGTTGAATAATAGACCAACAATTACACTTGTGTGAATTTCTGCACGGTATATCTTCGCAAGGCCAATGTTGCTACTGCACTCGTGCTGGCTTTGTTGTTCCTTCGAAGGTCACGCTTCTTCAACAACTGCAAGGTCCGAACAATAGGACTTGCAAGATCAACTTGTAAGAAAGTTGACCTACCCCCTTTCAATCAAGAAGTTTGATCAAAAGTTATACCCTTCAACGTGGTGTGGTACTTGAGGCAAGGAAACCTTCAAGTGTTTACACTATAGCTCTTTGG